GGAGAAATCTTGAGTTGTTACCTGTAAATGAGCTAGATAATTTTTACTTTGCTTAAAATTTAATTCCAGTACTGCTTGCCTCACTCCAGTCTGGCAATGAAGATGAGCAGCTGAAGAGTTTTTTGTGCAGTTTCTCGCTTGACGTGCTTCATAACCTCGTTGTCAGGGGAGCCCGTGCCTTGTGCATGTGCCTTGAATTTGGTGAGTCCCAAAAGCATGGGTCTCCTGCACCTGGGCAGAGTACCACATGTACTGTAGGTCTGGTGCTTGCCAGGAATGCTGAATTTATCATGTATTTCATGCACAGCAGCCAAGTGCACGCTTCCTTGTGGTAAATCCATGCTTTATACTGCACCTGAAGGTAGAAACATCTGCAAGCAAATGGGTACCATCAGAACAACTCAGGCAATCTCTTCCTACCATCTTTCATAAGTGTTTCTCAGAAGTAGGGAACACGACTCTTGTGAGGATGAATTCTTCTGGTGGATGGAGCCCGCTTGTAGCTACTTGCTTTCCAATGAGCTGTCTGGTCCTTCCCTCCTCCTGTCACCGTGTGTGCCTTCACTGCAATATCAGTTCTGTGTTTGGGACAGATGGCAGGGAGGGGGCCAGGGCAGGATGTGTCTGGGCAAGATGGTTACCAGATGTGGGTTGTCGCCCTGAGTTTGCTCTTTGCTTGTGTCTGAGAAGCTCTTGCAAACAGGGTGGCTGGGTGGAGGCTGCTAACAAGATAAAATCATCCAGGAGGGTTTGCTGTACCCTGTGGACTGTTGGTTACGAATCCTTGTTTTTGACAGGAGTCTTTCTCTCTATGCATGTTTATGCAGAGTAATTCCTTTTCCAGCAATGATTGCTCTTTGCACCATTTGCTACATTATTGCCTGTTCTTTAATTTTTTTCACTTGTATGAGAACGTTTTCCTGGTATTTGGACTACTGCTGTTTTTTCTTGGTTCAGTTGATACTTGTCTCTATTTTAGGGCTGATGTGTGTAATTTTTATTTTTTCATCCTGATATTTTCAGTTTTTATAGCTCTTTTCTGTTACATCAAAAGTCAACAGTTTGATGAAGTTCCAACTGTTGTAGCATATGTAGTCTGGCTTCATTATCTCCTGTTGCCTTAAACTGTAATCTCTAAAAAAATTTACCAACAAGCATGCCAAGTGTGCATGAGGGGTTGAGTGATGTAGATCTGTGGGTGTTATTTTGATACACTGAAAGTACCCCTCCAGTTTTTAGGGCTTAGTGAATACAATTCGTGTGACTGTGCTGATGGTGACAGGTCAGGTGCCTGTACGTGCCTTGTCACCCTAAGCTCCTCAGCCAGTCGGTGGAGATCTACTTAGTGCAATCAGGAGCCATCTCATCTCAGGGCGCATACCTGCTCCGGACAGATGAACTATGCTGACAGCTCCGCTGAAGATTGACTGTAGATGTGTACGCGTGTGTGGACACACATACACGCTGCGTCGAGTATAAGGGGAGTGACTAGCTTGTGTGACTATCTGGGCTGTGCATGTACAGCTAGGTGAGATGAATCCTGCCCAGACATTCCAATTTTTCTTTACAGCTTTGTCAGTCCTCTGCTAGGTCCAGAGAACACACGAGGCAGTCTTTGCCTGCTGTCCCTGCTCGGAACCTTCACTTTGGATTTTGCTGCTTTCTTTATCTACTGATGCCACTAAAGACTCTGCATTGGCTCAAGTCTGCTCTGTGGGTCTGGAGATCAGCTGCTAGTCTTTATTTTTCTGTGAATTGCATTATGGTTCAGGGTTGAAAATACAAGTATTACGCTAGATAGGACAGAGCGGGCCCTTAGCACCCAAGGACATAGCAAGTGCCTCACAGTTCTGTTTGTGTGAAGAGACAAAAAGTATCAGAAGGGAGATGAGCTGCACTGATGCTACGGCTTTGAGGTACTGCTGCAAAAATCAGTTGAATAATTGTTTAAAAGAAGCAGAAGCAAAATTGAAATATATTCCTCCAAGTCTTGCCCCTCCACTCTGCCTTTTTTTTTAGTCCCGATGGGTTCACTGGCAATAGTTATAGCACAGTCCAGAAACAGTTGCAGTGTTATAGCCGAAGGGGCAGTACATTGTAGCAAGAAACAGGAGTAAAAGTGAACGTGGAAAGAAATCTCTCAGGCCAGCCTTGCTTCTACAGGGAACGCTTTATGTGAAACTGGGCTGTGGACGGCACGCAGATACTGGCAAACTAGTTATTAACACTCAGGAAAAGCATCTGAGGTTTCCCAGGCTCGGAGAAGAATGCGGTAGACTTCAGAAACTGTGAAGAGATGTGTGACAAGAGTGAGCGAAGATAAGGATATGGAAGTATTTCTGTGCAAGCTACAGGGTGCAGAGTAGCATTCTTCTGCCTCAAAGGAGGTGACCAGATGGGAGCATGGAAAAGACAAATAGGGGGTTGAGGTTTGTTTTCTCTTCTTCCATAAGAAGTATGTGGCATCAAATGTATCTAGCAATTGGCGGGTTTAAAACAAAACAATTCTTTTTTTCAGTGAATAATTAACCTTGAGACACATTGCTGCTTGATGGTGTAGGTATAAAACTTTCTGGTTCAGACACTCATTCATGAGAGAAGAAATACACTTTGGTCTTAAGGGTCTGGGAGTGTAACTCAGAAGTATCAGTGTATTCTTGCCCTTGCCCCCATTTATTCTTATGCTTTTCCCTATGTGTATAAGCCCTGTTGGGGAGGTGAACCTGTGGTCTGACCCAGCACAGCTGCCGTTTTCTTCAGTGAAAAAAAGAAGCATGGCAATTGCATGTTGTTCTGGTATCTATGCTAATATAGCTGTTCAAACAAATGTTTGAAGTTGGTAGTACACCAGCAAGTCTGGTCATTAAGCTTTGTCAATATTTGGTTTAGTAAATAATTTTTACATTTGGCTACATTTGGTTTTGTGTGCCCTGGAGAATTCTGCTGACTGATTGCCATGATTGATGCTTACAGGAACAAGTCTAAATTCATGATAAAATAACAGTGAAACATTCAAGATGACTGGTTTTGTGCTGCTGCTTGATGTTTCCTCAACTTGTGTGAAAATTAATTTAAGGCCAAGACTTCCTTTTTAATTTCTTCAAAGTAGCAGATGGACCTCTTCATAAAATTGCTTCTCCTACTGTGCGTGTGTGTGTCTTGGTAGACAAAACCTCTAAAAACTTAGTTTCCTTGCAAACTGAGTGTTTAGAGATTCGTGCTGGTTTGCTGGTTGTTGAATAACATGGTAATACCGATAGTCTGATCCTGTCTTGGGTTAAGAACGAGTATAGTGAGCTGTGTTAAACATGGAGTGTTTTGGCTCAGTTCACAGCATTGTGTATGTCTGTAGTACACACACAACTGTTTTCTTGCTGCTTCCCTTTTCTCGTACGCTTTCTAAGGTCCCACTGGCAATCAGGGAAGTTTGCACTTGGATAAGCTAGAGAGGGATTTTTCAAGATCCTATCCTCATGTCTACCAGTTTAGAAAGAGGCAAAATTTTTCTGAGACATTGAATTATTTCAATTTTGTCTTTCCTATTAATTCTTTTTCAGTATGGTTGGAAGCTGGTTGGGGGATGTGTGTGTGCGTTTAGGGTTTTTTAAAATTAATTTTATAGAAATCCATTGTGAACCTGAACTCCAAAATAAAATAACTCCATTTGCAAGATGTGCTCTGATAGTGTAATCAAGCTTCTCTTAATTAATGCTGCCACATGTATGGAACAGTAAAGATTTTTTTTTCTGCATAAAATAAGTAAAGCATAGTATTTGTTTACATTAAATATACACAGTTTCTTACCTTCGATGTTTATGTAACTGAGGAACTTGGAATACTGTATTTTAATGATATGAAAGGAAGCCATGCTTGTCTTCCTTAAACCGTGAAGCAGACTGAAAAAGACCTCACACAACCCTTTTGCTTTTCTAGAACAGTTTTTAAGCATTTCTGTAGTTATTTTATTTGCTTTGTCCTCACTGCTTCATTTTACCTACATCTGGAGTTTTAAAAATGGTGGGTCTGCACAGCTCTGAGAGGGTTCTGTAGTCAGAGCTGGAAGGTGAGGTATCTGCATGGGAAGCAGCTCTAGGCTTTGCTGTTGTACATCTCTGCATTCCTTTCAGCTGGTGTATATCTGCCATTAGCTCTTTCTGGTGCTGGGATTGCACTTTAATGTTGACTGGCAAAATTCATTTAGTGCCCTTTCTCATCAGGCTACTGAGGCACATTTTCTGTCCCCAGAGATTAATGTATGACAAGTTTTTGACACCTGTGTGCTTTCTGTCCTCCTCCCTGCTATTAGTCATAATGATGACTGCATGCTACACCTGCGTAACAGTGATTATAAAAATACCTCCTGGCTACTTATAGTTCTGAGTGCGGTTTGAAACTGTGACTTGGCTTCATATACTGTAATTCAGGTGGCTTATTGACTCTTAAACACTGTAAGACCAACTTCTGTGTATTATTTTTATTTACAAAGTATTCCTCGTTGCATTCTGTCGTCCTGAACTGTCGACGGTGTTTCTGAATGACTGATACACTACTTTGGCCTTTATAACTACTGAGATGTTCACTATGAAATATATATTCAGTTTTTATTGCAAAGTGTTTCTACTCATTGGTTTACTGGGAATACGTGTTGGTCATTCTGAATGGAATCGTAGTGTGTGGGTTTTTTTCAATGCAATTTTGAAACTGGATAAATACTGCAAGTAGAGTTTTGAGGAATTACAGTAATTTCAATTTGAGCCTGTGTCTTCTACCATTATAATACCAGAAAACAATGCATATAGTTCTGTTCTCTAACAATATTTGTTCTGTCTCCACCCTGAGAGAAGGTGTATAGATTTTTGAATTTGTACACATGTATAATCATACAAAATAAATGCTCAGTTATAAAATTATGTAAATTATATTCTGAAAAGAATAGTTCATTTGCCTTTAATAAAATACTTTTTAAGAGTCTCTGATAAGTATTCTTTTTTTCTTGACAGTCTGTGGTGGACGACTGGATTGAATCATATAAACAAGACAGGGACATAGCACTTCTGGATTTAATCAACTTCTTTATCCAGTGTTCAGGATGTCGAGGTACAGAACGTTGGAAACAAGTTGTATAGAATAAATCTGACAGTCATACAAACGTGTATTAGTGCAAATGCTGGTAAATATGTGGGAGGCACGTGGATTGGTACTCGTCATATGCATGGTTGATGTAGAAATATTGTCTACGTTCAGGGATAATTTTATTTAAAGCTTGTTTGTCAAGGGCCTACCCTTTCTTTTTCTCACTTTCCTGTCATCATCCTAAAGTGTACAAATCCTCACAGAGACACTCATCAGGAAAAGGAGACAAAAGATCTGTCATTCAAGGTAGGCGTATCTTTACTTCCCCTTTCTATTTCTTCCCATTTTTTTTTATTACATGAATTGGTAGGTGTAGCTATACCTGAACTTTGCTATTTTTTCTTTCTTTCTAGGAAAATGATGTTTTTTTAAACTGAAGAGGAAGGAGTCAGGCTTCCATTGACTTCAGTTAGCAAGAAAGATTTCTCCTGGATGAAGCACCAATCTTATTTCTTCCTCTGTAATACTTTATCAAGTCAGCAGCAAGTGGCCTGCCTTTTATACCCTGTTTAAGCAGTCTCCATTACCAGGCATGCGGCAGTCAGTCTTCCTAGCATTCTGCTGCCACGCTGTACCTTCTAATGAATTTTTCATGTGTTGTCATTTTCAGTTAACTCAGCCTTGAAAAGAGAGAAAGACAAAGCTCTACTCTCTCTGTGGTACCCAGAACCAAACCATTTACTGTTTCCTCATGCTTCCTGTAATTTGCTTTGACTAGAATTGAAAATAACTCACAATTCAGAAATTCTTCATTTTGTAACTGATGTGGGAATATACCTTTAGACATCAAATCAACTCGGTAGAAGTCCCTTGTCTTCCTTCTGAAGTATAAGCTGAAGTCCCAAGTACAGTTAAAAGCATCAGAGAAGAAGAAATATGAGCCATCAGCAGCTTCAGCAACCCTTTTTTACAGCTCAAGGAAATAAACTTATTTTGTGGGTGATAGGAAAGGCTGAAGCTCTGGAAGCATTCCGTGAAAGGTCTGAAGCTTGGCGTTTAGATTACCAGCCTGCGTCAGTGTCTGTCCTGCTCACACAGATTCCCTAAAATATTTTTCAGGCTTGTTTGGCAGCTTATGTGGAAGTAGTTGTATTTGGTTTGATTTTTTTTAACACTCTCCTAAAGGTGTATATGAAAAAAAAAAGCAAACCCACAGGCTTCTTTCTAAGAATTTGGGCAGCATTAAACCAAAAGGATCCTTGGCCATATGTTTTTATTCTTGTTGATGCAAGCTTTTGGTGGAGGCATGTCATAAATATATCTTCATTCCCCTGCTGCTCTCTAATTTCTGCTTCCGTTCTTTCTCCTTGTTACAGAAAGCAGCACTCTTATAAGCTCAGAAGATTTATATTTTTTAAACCTCTTGTTGCTGACTGATGCAGGCTGAATGCCCACTGTCAACCATATGCTGCTGAAGCAATTGCTTCCCAGAAGAGCTTTCCGTTATTGGCCGTGAAGCAGCAGCGCTTCAAGTGGCTGATGTCATTTACTTTCTTTTTTTTTTCCTTTTTTTTTTTTAAATGGTGACTTTCTATCCATTTTCAGTTCTCTGCTTTGTACCCTGAGGGATATGTTTCTGATGAGCTTGCTTTAGTGACCTTCTGGTCCCAAACAACAATGGTAGAAGAAAGGAAGCAAAAATGACTTATCCTCTGAATTTATAGTATGTTTGGGGGATTTATTTCTGTGTGGAATTTTTGTAGTGGGTACAGTAACAGCTGTAAACAGGGTTAAAATCCTGGCAAACAATTCTGTTCTCCCCAATTTCCCGTAACATGCCTGTTTTCTAGAACGAGTAAAAACTTTTATCAGAAGAGATTTTACCCCGCTTAGGGTAGAATGCATACTGAGCTGTCCTTAATGGAAATCTGGGGATTTTCTCTGTTCTGTGAGGAAGGCCATGTTTCTTTTTCATGGGAAGATCATATGCTCTGTTATGACACTTTTGTTTCCCTTTAAAGATTTTGTTGACATTCTTGTTTGTTTCCATTTCTGGTAAATAACAGCTCCTCTTGAATCTTAATGGCTGGTTTTTCTTCCTCAATATTCCTTAATTTTCTTCTTTTCAATTTGGTCCACTAACATTGTCTCGAATTCTTCAGCCTTCTCGCCCCATGTTGGATCTAAATGCTTACTGATAATGTATCTGACTTTGTGCTCATTATCTTGAAGGGAGGAGGACAACTAGCTTGGGAGGAGGTTCCTTGGGAAACTGTGAAAGTGTTGCTAGGTTTAGATATCTACCATTTTAATAGTGCTTAGAATTATTTGATATTTGAATATATGTAAAATGCACTTAGCATCACATGTCTTTCAAAAGATTTGGGCGGGTAAAGAGCATGTGCCTATTTTCTGACTTTAATTAGAAATCACGTAGGCACCAGACTGTTTTATTTAGCAATAGTATTGGCCCTGACAAAAATATCTTTCTATTTAATGAAAGATTGATTTTTATGTATTTATCGCATTCACTTCGGCCGCTCATACGCTTGAATGAATCTCTTGGCATATTCCAGCTTTGCTTAGAGATGTTCCTGTAATGAGAAGTGATCTATTGTAAATATGAATAAGCAGGCATGGTATGTAAATTGTTAGTACTAAAAAAACTGTAAAATTAATGTATTTTGCAGGCGAACTTTAAAGATCTGTACAACTTAAAATTGAATAAATACAAACCAAATATTCAAGCACATCTGTCCTTTGTCAGCTCTTCTATCTATTTCATCAGTTACTTGCTCTATAACGTGTTCTGATTTGTACAGTAATGCCCATTAAAACAGGAGAGATTTGTTTTTAGCATGACTTCAGTAATCTTCCTGGGTTTTTAAAGGATCATTTGGTATGAATTAGATATTTGTCCTATTGAACTACAAAAAGCATCTCAATTTGATAATTAGATTTGTACGGGAGTCAAATCACTTTTCATGCCAGCTTTCCACTAGTTTGTCTGCTCAATCTGTATGTTTGTTGCCTTTGCTGGTTTTGTTTACAAAGAAGGAAAAATAGTTTCTTAAATTTTTTTTCTTTTATCTTGCCATTTTTTTCTTCAAGAATACCATCAAAAATCCCTGCCTTTCACATTTTGTCTCTGTAGTCTTCTCCATGATGTTATATTGTATTTCTGTGGCAGAAAAATAGTTAACAAAGAGTGATAAAATCACCTATTTACTTTTTGTTTCCCGCCCCTTTAAAATGCGTTTCTTCTTCTACAGGGAGAATCTTGTGTCAGATGGTACCTTAGAAAGATGAAAAAGTTAGTTTTAAAATACTTTTTCTTCCTGGAAAAAGAGCAAATATATGCTGGTTCCAGTCCTTGGAAAAAACAGGTTTGTTTGTTGGTAGTAGGTGTTTATTTTCCACACTATTCACAATCTGTAACGCAGGTGGTGGTGTATTTACCTTCTTACTTCTCTGTCAGGAACTTAATTTAGGGGTTTGTATTTTTAGATAACAGGGAACTTTTTTTAGTTCAGGCTGTCGTAATGATAAATTCAATTTTTCAAATAACTTTCACTTGGCTGGGGGTTGGAACTGTACGGGCGTGATCAGTGTTCAGAGTTTTCTGGGTTTTTTTTCAAGAACTCTTGTCCATTGCTTTCTTCTTTGTAGCAACATATTTTTGCTTTATTTCCTTTTTTTTTTTTTTTTTAAACAGTTTCATAGAGCACTGTGTAGTATGCTGAGATCTCTGAGCTAGCTGCAAGCAAGCTGAAATGTCTAATCAGCAATATGCATGCCCAGGTCCCGGAAGGATTATAACTGTGTCAGTATGATGCTGCATCTGGGCTAATTAGCTCTGCCTCTCAGACTGAGTAATTAGCTCAGGTATCACGCTCTGCTGCTATGACAACCAGACTGTTTCCATTTCTGGAGCTCCATGGATTTAGAGCTGACTGGGGTATCTGCAGTACTGTCTGCCTTTGCCTTCTGTTATTGATATAAAACAAGCAGAAAACCCCACAAACACTCTGACCTTTCTACGTTTTAAAGGCGGAGAGCCATGCTTGTGGAATAAATATTGGGGTTTTTTCCTAACCAGAAGCAATTAGTGGTTGAAACAGCCTCTTAGCTGTGAAGGACAAACCAACCCATCGAGTCCGTGTAAAAAAAGCAGCTTTCTTCTGCAGGGAAAAAAGGTCTCTCACATAGTTCAAGAAGAGAACTACTTGACTGCTTTCACGTATATAGTGAAATAGTTCCCGTTCTTCCCCTCCCATCCCTCTCCTTCCCTCTCATTTCTTTTCTGATAGGTAAGCCAGAAACCTGTACATTCTTAAGCAGCTTTTCCCAATTGGTTTGAGCACTGCTTCCACTGCTACCCATACCTCTGTCAGACAGCTCTGAGACACCAGTTAGTGACAAAACAAATCTGGTGGAACTCCCTTACTGTTAAATTCTTAGCAGTGTTGTAGCCTTCTCTGGGTCGTAAGGAGCTCTCCATTGAAGTATTTTTGTGATTTGGCACACTGAAGGTTTTTTTTAGGAGTAGACGGTGAAAGAAGCAGGCGAATTTCCTTTATACGATGTTTCTCATACCTTATTTTTCCCTGCAATATCTTCTCTGTAGATTCTTGTGTTAAGGAACAAGTGTTCAAACTGCCACCTGTCAGCCTTGGTTGCTGGTGTTGTTCAGGGTTGGGGTTTTTTCAGTTGTGAGTAGGCAGGAATCTTGAGTATGAATTTTTTGCCCAGTGCTTAAAAGAGGGACATATTTTTGGAATTTTTCCTTGTGAATCAGACACTTGGGGATCCGCACTCTCTTCCAGCTTGAGCCTTGAATCTCGAGTTGTTCCTCCCCTGTTCTAGTACGATCTTCTGAAAAATTCTGTGATTGAGTGCTGCAAACTGAGCCAACAAGTGCAGGACTTAGGAGTTAGCTTGTTTGAATGCAGAATGCATGCTCATTTTGATTTTTATTAATGTTCTGTGCTCTTCGTTAAGGGCCAGCTAATAGATTTCTGTTT